TATTGTGACGAATTTACAAGGAACTGACCACGTTGAAATCGAGAGGCAACTCATGTCTTATTGCCCCATTGCTAGCAATTTATCAGTTCAACTTCTAGGTGGTTTCCCTAAAAACCATCGAGTCTATGGGGAAGGCCTATGTTTTGCAGTGGACGGATAATGTCTGAGATTATGATGAAAATGATTAAACGCGTCTTACTTTACTACAGTAAAAAATGTTTTATAGGGAACTAACTGATACTAATTTTCAAATAGAACTTGTAGTTCCAGAGATTAACGCGTTCAAATAAACAAACAAACAAACACTTCCTTTTTATTTATTAATAAAGATTATAAAAGCTTTTAAAATCGAATGGTTAACCTTTATTTTTTTCCGACGATGACATTATGTGTGAAATATTTTGTTTGAAAACAAAATTTTAATAGATTTTTGTTGAACTGATTTTTAATAAATTAATTCTAACTAAAATTAACTACAGCCTTTAATACCGAGTTGTTAGTTGTCATGATGGTCGAAATAAAAGTGAAATTTGAAAGTATATTCATATCCTAATAGGTCACATTATTGGCGCACACCGAAGGGTTCACATACTCTATATGTAAGTAGAAAGCCTACTAGTCAATTGAAACAACTAATCAGCATTAATTTACTACTTTCTCTTATTTTTATAGTAATATTTGTCCTTTTTTAATTATATTTCACTGGTTGATAGTATCCTTATCATATCAGCCTTTAACCATCTACTGCTGATCACAAACCTTCCCTGGAATTTTTTAGTTGTTGCCATGCTAGGCAGGCGGATTCCCACCTTACGGGGGGATTCCCACAGTACCCATTTACCTCCCACAAGGTGTATAAGGGTCTGCATAAAGCATTTTCCAGAAATTAAAAAAAAGGCAGGCGGATTGGCAATCGCAGTTAGGCCTTGAAGATGTTTTAAGAGAGATGTTGCTGTCCATCCCTCGTCCTCCCTTACGACATTCACTGGAAAGGAAGGGGTAGCCTATTTTATACCGGGACTACACGACACGAGTAATAATAATACGAGTATATAAACAAATAATTTTGCGCTCTCTCTTCATAATCTATTTACATATGATAAAATTGAAACAAGACGATTACTGTACATATGTAGAATATTTTTAAGAAGAATTGATATAAATGAATAAATGATGAATGATAGTATGAATGAATGAATGAGAGTATGAATGAGTATACTTAATGTATGAATGGTTTTAATAAGAACAACAAAAGTCAAAACAATTATTTATACAATTTTCTTCCGACTGTTTGATCCGGCATCACGCAAAAACTATTGCACTAAATTGAATGCAGTTTTTTATAGTTGTATTCCTAAAGATCTAACTTAGAATCTAGTGTATGTTTTATTTTAGTATGCCTTTTAAAAGTAGTCTACTTAAATAGTTTATATATTACAAAAATTTATGCGTACGGAGTCGTAGGAAAAGGTAGTATTAGATTAGTGTAGGCGTGTAGTAGTACAACTATGCGCCTGCGCCGAGCTCTCAGCACTTTCTAAGATATAACGCCAGTTTTTGAAAATGTACATACATAGTAGTGCGAATTCATTATTAGTAATGAATTTAGGTAGGTATGTATAGTGATTTATTATCAATTTACTTTTTTGTACGCATAGTAAGCCTTCAATATGGATGATAGTGCTGTTTTTGCGTAATTTCAGTTTCGTTATCTATTCATGAACGGATTACAAAAATGGTTTGTTTTATTTTTAATTAAAATTAAATACTACATACAAGTTATAATTTACGTATTGTCATAACGAAAGTAATAAAAGGTCAACGGAATTATTATTATTAAATATTCCATTATATATATTGAAATTTAAGGATTATTTGTGTAATAATAGACCCATATATAGTAAGAACATATTATTAGAACTATTGAGGACAGAAGGGGAAAAATGTTAGGACACTTGATACGACACGACGAACTTATGAACATTATAATTAAATGCGTGAAAGTTACATCAGGCAGATCAAGGAAGGAGTTGGTGTCGTGTCGTATATTTGAAAATCGTAATAAGAGCTCCACCGACAAGAGCGCAGCTCTTAAATGGATAGATAGATAGATATAGTAAGAGCAATTTAGATTAGTATTTCAAATTTATTCATCTGTTACTAAAAAGAAAAAAAATCTATTTCTTTTATTTGTTTTCACACGTTTGTAGTCCAAAAAATGGCATAATAGATATATTGTTAGCGATACAAAAAAAAGTAGATATAACTGCGGACTTATCCTAAGATGGATCTCTTCCAGTCAACCAGTTTTCGAGTTACTCAGATAAATCTTTAGTATGTATTTAGCGAGTACTGTTTAAAACTATATTTTTTAACTTATATAATAGTTATTTACAATTTAACATTTTACAACGAGATAATCTGCCATCACCAGTCGATCCAGGCGTTTGTAACAGTGTCGAAATAATCGGGAACTCATAAAGTTATAATCATGGCAAATGTTATATAATTTGTATTATTGTTTCGTTGTTTACCTTTAACAAGTTTGTTTTCTTAACATGATATAATTTTAAATAATTAAACGAGACCAATTCGTATTCATACTCGTGCTAAAATAGTTATAGGTATTTTGCAGCGTTCCTAATTTAAATATTGTTATCATAAATTGTTTATTAATTTTAAATAATAATAATAATTCTAAATTTGATTATTGTTATTATTAATTACGGAACTATTGATAAGTACAAATTATTACAAAATGTATTAGATTTTAAGCATTTATGTAATTAATAAATATATATCTTTGGAATTTATCATATAAACTTCTGGATTCAAGTATATTTTATATTCCAAAATACTTTAAAGATAGATACAATCTAAACTTTCGTAGGACACAAAATGTTGAATTATTTTTGTCATGCGCTCAGCGCACGCGCATGTCTGCCCAGAATAAGAATGCGCGGCCACGAAAGTGGTCGAACAAGTAACTTGCACTGTATTGCAGTTGGAGATTGTTTATAGCTCGTCATGTATTAACCAACATCAAAAAGGAGAATAATTTCAATTTTTCAGTAGTTATATATTATAGTTATTATATAGGTAAAATATTAGGTAAATATATCTTGCACAGAATTATACATATTACACAGTGCCATCTAGTCCCAAACTAAGCAGACTTTTTAATATCAGTGATATACTCAAATACTTTTTTGTAAATCACACAAATCACACACTAATAACAGATAATACTTTGTAAATAAAAAAAAATATATATTGCCTACACTTTTTCCAAGAATTTTTATACTAATACTATAAAGAAGAAAGTTTTGATTGTTTGTTTATAATGGACTAGCGGCCCATCCCGACGTCGCACGGGTGGACATTTCTACATTTTAAAAAGTGGCCATTAAGGCTGCACACGCGACGGAAGCTTAAAAATGGAGTAACTTCTCCAGTTTTCCCAACATTTCCCTTCACTGCTCTGCTCCTATTGATTGTAGTGTGATGAAAAGTATACTATAACCTGTCCAGGAGTATGAAGAATAATTGTACCAAGTTTCGTTAAAATCCATCGAGTAATTTTTGTTTCTATAACGAACATACAGACAGACAGACAAAAATTTTACTGATTGCATTTTTGGCATCAGTATCGATCACTAATCACCCCCTGATATTTATTTCGGAAATATATTTCATGTACAGAATTGACCTCAGATTTATTATAAATATAGATATAGATAGATAAAATCAAACACTACTTAAACGATATTAAAAATTCTTTCACCTATAGAAAGCTACATTATCAACGAGTATATAACCTATGTTATATACATATTATTTTTAAAAACTCTAGCCATGTGAAGCTGGGTCGAATCGCTAGTTGTGTTAATAAAGCGACGTCCCAGAACTATCTAAGTCATTGTAGTCAACAATGTGTTATCGTGCTATACTGTGCTAATAGCGTTATAAAATTATTAAGTAGTAAGGTGAAGGCACTTATAAAATTCATGTAATTAACATATTTACTACACTCTTGTTGACAATGTGACATAGCAATCTAATGAAAATAATTTCATTGCACGGAACAAGTCCTTGGTTGATAGTGATTAAAAAAATAGGTCATAATGTACACTTTAGTATTTAGATAAGCCATACATAGTACAGATTACTAACAATTAGACAGGTCCTTAGCGAGTCCATTTTATCTCTAGCCTAATTGCATATCATTTGTTATATAGAAACAATTAATTTATAGAATAGAATAAAGTATAAATGTAGATTCTATCAAATAACATTAATACTCGTATAACAAAAACTTATCGTATTATAAGAAAAAAAAATTATAAATAGCATTTTGACGATAGTGCTCTATTCTATTGTCAAATAAATCTTGATTTATTCTTATTATTTTTTTAGTTTCTATTTATTTACAATTATTGCCTTAGCGACTATCACTTTGAACGTATTGACCATATATTTAGTACACCGCTGACTTTAAGTGTTATGCAGTTTACTGATTTTACTCTACACGCTCAATCACCTTTTCATTCGTTCTCGAATGTAAATGAACAATGTTATTATATTAAGCGTAGTCGCTGACACTTGTAATGTAAGTTAACACTTCATCTTTAGCATAAAAATAAATTTACATAGAAGTTCACGATGAGTTTGTTAATATTGACAGTTAGCTATAGGTACGTTCGTTGTGAATGCGGCCTTACTTCTATTTTCCTAACCATTGTTCTTAAGAGGGTGTCGCCCTCTAGTATCACGTTTTAGAAGTTTGATATTTGATTTATAAATTTCTGAGACACCACGTCGGCATATACAGACCAACAGTGTATGCCGGCTGCAAACCCAGCGACCCGGAGGTAGCCGCTTCCGGAGTAGAAGCCGGGGTAATGGGGTACGCCCCGAGGCCCCTACCTCGCCCGCCCACACATCATCCGGCGGGCAACGAGAAGACCCCGTTGTAAATTTCTGTATAAAAAGTGACTTACCTGGTTGGCCTGTGCGAGTGTTGCGCTCTGCGGGGGCACGGTCTGCACGGGCCGCGCGGGCTTGGCGGCGGCGCGCTGCAGCGTCGCACGCTTCACCGTCACCATCAGCCACATGTCCTCCACTCGTTGGGCCACCTAAAGTTTATCAGGTGCACATATACATACTGAAGATAAAAATGGGTTCATTGACCTGAATTCAACCTCACCTATCACCTTCCTCATGCTCCTCAAATATTGCGCCTAAATTACTAGTGAATACATTGTATAGGTATTCCATAATCCGTATCCAATAGCGAAGACAGTATGCCTTAAATACTATGCCGCAAAGCATAAACCTTACCTATCAACTCTCACAGCAGCAAGGCCTAGCCTTAGTCTACTTGGTGTCTTTGGGAAAGTATCTGATGATGAAAAAAGAGGATTCCTTTATTTATGTTATGGTGCCTATCTTATCAGAATGCGGCACTGTCCTTTTTGAACTTACGGATGTTAAATTGGCATTGGATGTTAAACTTTCGAATAATTTTAAATCTCATAAAAATATTATAGACACATCTGATAGAAAACGGTTAACGTTGACGGTTAACTATGATCGCTTGAAAATCTAGAAGTGAGACCCACGCGTTGTTATCTAATCAAAAATTTATTGTTTTTGGCAGAAGAAATTCGAAGTTATTTAGTAATTTCAAATTGTATAATATGACTTAAATATGTCATACCTGTGTAACCAAAGCTCTCGTTTCCTGGGTGGCCGATTGCATCAGCATATCTCGGAACTGGTCGGGAGCAGTTAAACCAAAGCTCTCAGCGTCTTTCAGCAACTTATCCACTGCCACCAATCCCCTGTCTCCAGCCAGTAATTCCACTCCGGTCGCGCACCATTCGTTCGCCTGTTATAATTAATTTTTATTTATCTTTTGTTCTATAAAAAAAAGTCTATTTCAGTAGGGACAAATTTAATATGAAATCTACTTATACATGAGTAATAAATCTTATGGATTGTTAAAAGAATCATCAAAATTAAATCAAAATTAATATCTTGTAATAAATTAAAGAAAAACGATAGAATGTAGGTCTGTTTGGAGTATGTTGAAAAATTTTCACTTTAAAATATATTTAAATTATCTGTTTAATTACACATTTTAATTATAGATAATGACGAAAAAAAAGTTAGATATATGATTTCTGAATCACTCTCTTATTATTTATTCGATTTTAGCTTCTTTAAAACTGACAATAAATGTGAAAGTGAGTTTGTTTGTTTAATATTGGCATCAGAGGCGCCGGCTCCGTGGGTGTTGGAGCCCCGAACACGGAGTCGCCGCGAGATAAATACTTGTAGTAGACACTAGACATCATAATATAAGTAAAATAATACTCATCTTCTTTTCTGTTTAGGTCGTGTTTGCTTGTCCAGCAAGCAGTGTTCGTCTTTCAGCGGGAATAATGACGCTATAGTTATCAAAGGAACATAAATACCCACGAGGTATTTTAGAACCTGGCGCCCCCTGCTTGGTGCCTTAAGAACTCAATCAGTCGCCATGATAAAATTTTATGTACAAATACTATATAAGATGGAAAAAGGAAATAGGCAAATTTTTATCTCGTTCAATGAACATATCCCAGAACGCGTTTCTAGCGAAGGATGTTTCGAGCAAAAACTGGTTTTATATATATATAAAGAAACAAATTTACCTTGTCTATCCTGTCCATGAGTTCCCTCGCTTTGGCCAGTAGTAGATTTCGTTTTTGTATTTTATCTAACAGTAACGTACTTGTTCGTCTTAGCTCTTCACATTTCGACTCTATGTGGTCAACGGAACTTAATGGGTCCTGCATTAATTGCTCACCTAAAACATAAGTAAATAATATATTTTTACCAACAAATAATGCATTTTTTTAAAAGGTATATCTTATTATAATACACAAAAATAGTAAGCGATAGCTCGCCCACTGCCGGCCAGATATGAAAATATTGGTTTATTTAAAATAATTAATATAAATAAAACAGTTTTAATTAAGTTTAATTGAAACATAAAATAGCATTTATTTAAAATATTTTAAATCAATATACAATATAATTTAGAAAAAAAATTATAAGGATATTAAACATAATAAAAAGAAAATTGCTCACAACTATATTTTGTAATAGGTATTCAGAGGCATTTATAGGCTATTATTATTGTAGTAAATAAAGTAGGTATTCAAGTTGCTTACATTTAGCCACAAACACAGGTGCAAATGATTTTATTGATAGAATCGCTTCAGATTCGTTTACACTTTGTCTAAGGGAGTCATATTAGATTTTATTAGAAACCATGTGGCAGAGGACGGCGTATTACCGCCAAATTAATAATTATGATTTATTATAGTTTAATAAGTAATTTATTATCGATATTAAATTATTTTTAATTAATTAATTTGTATTTACCATCGTCTATAACTTCTTTAGCAGTAGTGAGATCACAGTTACAGAGTTTCTCGAAATCACATGCCTCCTGTATGAGACTTTCGACTCTGCTTGCAGTTTCACCGACCTCGGTCATATCGCACGCGGTTTTTAGATGACCATCTAAAGTCGCCTGTATGTGAAACAACAAAAAAATATATACTTTAAAATGTAAATTCATACAAAGGAATAAAAGTAAGTATACTTATATGTAACCTGTAACAAAAACGCTATGCTTATTCTCAATCATTCTCTTTATTGTTTTAATTACATTGATATTACTCAAAGCAGAGTATATGCCAAAACAGATATTTAAAATAAATGAAAAATTATTATCAGGTTCACAATCGGCGCGTTTTTTATTATATCGCGTTATATACACGCAAAAATAGTCTAATTTAAAATGCCTTTAGTTTTTAAAGTCGGCTAAAAATATGCTAGGTATTTGTAAATATAATATTACCCCATTAAGATTAAGAATAATAGTTTCTTTCTATGAACCGCTCGGTTTGTTTGATTTTCAATAAAAAAAAAAAAAAAACTTTTTGATGTTCATTTCTACAGACGTTCTTGACTGAAAAGTAGATTGTCCAGAGAGATTTAATATTATATGAATATTATCACTGGTTTTCTTTACATTGTATAAAAAATATGAAGATAGAAAGGATTAATGTTCTCATTACATAACAACGCATAATAAAATGCGCATAAAATTATTTTTAAATATTTATAAAAAAACTTATGTTTAATACTGGCCATAAATAAAATAAATTATTGCGCGACATTAAAAACGTTTTTTGACAGCTAACCTAAAAATGTTCTATATCAATTGTGTATATAATTGTTGTAAAAATAATATTTAGCAAAATGTCTATGGACATGGTTTGCAATTTTCGTAAATGTCGGAGGTCTTTATCTGATCATGCATGGGTGACAACATGTTCACACGCTTTCTGTATTGAACACGGCCAGAGGGAATTCAAAAGAAACGCTGAAAATTCTTTGACTTGTCCAGCGTGCGGCAGTGAATTGCGAGATAAATTTGATGTTATACAAGCCGATTTAAAACCATGTGAGACTTTCAAATCAATAGTGTTAGCAGGTTTGAAACCTGATGCAATCATGGATGTTGCAATGAGAGCAATGTCATTTTGGGCATATCAAATCGAACAAGAGACCCTGTACCAAGAAAGCATGGCGAGTCACGCGAGAGAAAAGCTTCAATGTTTAGAAGAAGTAAACAATTTAAATCTACAGAAAATAAAGGCCGAGTTGGAAACGTACAAACGTAAAATTGCTTCTGTACAAGAAGAATACAATAAAAAGAGACGGCAGACTGAAGAATTGAAAGCGCGTTTGGAAGAAAAGTCTCGCAAAATACAAAAGCTGACATTTCAATTAGAAGCCCAAAAAAGAAAAGATATTAATATAAATAATATGGAAGTAAGTAACGATAATAGAGAAAAATGTATGGATATATCAGCTCTAATGCGTAATAGGTCGACATCTGAATCCTTTGTATTTAAGCCGACTAAAGAGGTGGACAAATCCCATCACAGAATATGTTCACCAAAAACACCTATGTTCGATTTTCAAAAAAAGAGTAGACATCATCAATCGCATTTCCAGTTTAAACCATTATCATCTTAATATTAACATTTAAGAAAATTAAGTTAGCTATTAAGGAAAATTACCTGCATTTGCTTAAAATTTAATAAAAACGTCCTAAATTTTAACCAGTGGTTTAATTTCATGGAATGTTTCTGCCAGAAATTGTCGAATTGTTTTTCAGTCTCTTCTAGTTGCACCAGTAGCCTGCAGATCAGACAATAATTTATATTTTAATATAATAACTACTGGTTTAACTTAACTGTAATTAATGAGCGGTTGTGAAGTGCGAACCTCATGATTAAGGATCACGAATTAATTTCAAAACTAGTTGAGCTTTCTCGATCTAATTATACGTAAGTTAAACCGGTAGTTATTACATTAAAATATAATGTGTACTTTTAATAATAAATTGATGATGATTTGTAAAACGTATTGGTATTTTTCTAATATTTGAGATTATTAGTAATGCGAAGTCCCATTGCCCACTGGTGCCTCGCAATCATATACCGTTAGCGCAGGCGGAGTTACTACTCCATTATCATCCATTAAAAAAAACTGCGAATATTGTTAGTACTGAAATAAAATACCTACCTTTCTACAGCAGCGACGTGACTAATAATATTATAAGTAAGATTTGGTTTTCGCACTTGCGTCAACAACTCTTCGCCTTGCGTTGTCGCTGACGCCAGTTCTGTTTTTAAAGCTTTATATCTGAAAAAAAAAACAGCCATTATCTATTACTATACTCTTTATTCATCGCTGTAGCTATGCATTCGTATGTTTCCATGAAGGATTTAAAAATGCTCTAAGAAATGTGGATTTGAAGACATGAAAAAATTTTCACTTGTGAGTGGTGAATATTGTTAATTTCAGATTTTCTTGTATAAAAAAAAGTTAGTTTAATTTTGAAAAAAGTAACAGCAATGCTTACACGTCTGCTAATATTGTTATTATTATGTATCAAATAATCCTCAGGAATGGCAACGCATGAGGTGATATAAGTATATAAACATAGTATAACATATTCATGTAATAGGCGACAGATGTTTATCACTTTTCAACCGTCTTTTAATAGAAGTAAGTTTTCAATTCGATTGTATTTTTTTTATGTTTGTTACCTCATAAGTTCGTCAATTCTAAACCGATTTGGAAAATTCTTTTTATCTGAAAGGATATACCTACAGATTGAGACCAATAAAATTTTATAAATATCGGATCATTAGTTTAGTTTTTAAATCAAAATAACTGGTTTTGTCATAATTGAAGTCGGTTTTTGTGTGGGACACAATATTTAACTGTCATCAGGCGGACCCTAAGCTTGTTTATTATTCTCAATCATAAAAATCTAGCCATGATATTATTTAAATCCAATAATTTAAACACAGATAGTGCTAATTTTACATACGTCTTTCTACTAAGTCATAATAAATTAATTCATTTTCACTACTCGTACCAGTCATTAGCTGTCCAGTTTTTTTTTTTTTTTATACAACTTAGAATGTAAACAAGCTGATTGCCCAACTGATGGAAAGTGGTAACCGTCGCCTATAGACATGATCAGTACCATGGACATAACAGAGTATACTGTTTCGCCCATGATACCCCCCATGCGTTGCCATTCCTGAGGACTCGGGTGTTATTCCTCTGTACCCAAATTGTAAATTCACGCCATATCCCACTCTTCAAACCGAAACACAGCCATGTAAACACAACTGCTTCAAGGTTGAAACACGAATGGGACAGAGGTACCCAAGCAATCGACTCTTGTACAAAGTCTCCCTCTGTTTAACATGGGCCTCTCCTATAGACTGTTATAAGAAACGGTCCCAAGCCATCCATAACCACTGACTTATAATAAGTTTTTATTAGAAATAATATAATATACATATTTGTTTACCTAGATTCCTGACAGTCTAATAAATCTTTGGTTTGTGAAGGGTCATTACCCATATCGCAGTCCACAATTCCATGCATAAAGTGGTCCAATTTACTTGAGATTTCTTTCATAAGAGTAGAAAACTTCTCCAGTGCCTAAAAATAAGAAATAAGTACATATTATTTAGAATCTAATACAATGAATTATTTTTTTAAATTAAAAATTAAAATTATGTATATAACTTTACGTTTACTTTAAGACAGCTGAAAACTTAACTGCGCCTCTAGCGGATAGATTCGAATACTTAAATTTCCGTACTTGGATTTTGGTTAAATAGACCCTATTGATGAAGACTAACCTTGTATATGTACTATATAGGTATATATGTTATTTATAACTTTTTAAGATTATTTTCAAGTTCAAGTTGTATTGTTCTCAGTGCTCCCCAATTTGGTTTTTGGGAACAAGAAGAAGTCACACGGGGCCAAACATAGCGAATTTTTACTCAAAAATCAGCTTGATGTGTGGGTCTCCCATGTATCCACACATATTTCAGTCTGGCGCAATGGATTATGAAAAAAACATCAACACTTGACGAACAATACGTGGGTTGAATTATTTACCACGAATTTTTGAATGTGTCAACTCTTCGTATTTTTATCTATTGTTAGTTTTGACACTATACATTTTGATAGCGCTTACCTGGCCTCCCCACTCCTCTTTCTCGCATTCCAGAACACTTTTATACGAACTTTCCGGACAGACCTCGTATGTTATTTATAACTTTTTAAGATTATTTTCAAGTTGTATTGTTCTCAGTGCTCCCCACATAACGATCAGCTTGATGTGGGGTCTCCCATGTATCCACACATATTTCAGTGCGCAAGGATTATGAACATCACCGAACAATACGTGGTTGAATTATTTACCACGAGTTTTTGAATGTGTCGGTATGTCTATTGTAGTTTTGACACTATACTTTGATAGCGTGATTCAAGAATGTTTACTAGCTTTGACTAGCACATGCTTTAAATGAAGTGTCATAGGTATTATATTTGTGTATAGATGGCGCTACTTTGTCTAGATTAAAAATAGAAAATTAAATCGTACCTACTTAGATAGTATTACTAATTGGATGGATGGATATTAATAGAATAGTAACCCCATCTTCGCTAACGGTATACACTGGCGAGGCAACAGTGAGGGACGGGTGAGAATGAAAAGGCATGTCTTTTTTTAATGAATGATAATGGAATAGTAACCCCGCCTGCACTATCGGTATACATTGGCGGGGCACCAGTGAAGGATGACAGGTGAGGATGAAGCAGGTCAGTTAGCCCACCGTGACGAATCTAACAATAAATCAATCACGATGGTTTACAGGGGGAACCGCGAGAAGGTCGACCTGGTATTGTTAGCAATGGGGCTAATTATCCCCATTACTAACAATCCTTTCTCCCTCCGAAAAGGCAGGCAGTTAGCCCATTGTGATAAATACACCTGGAATTCAATACGATGGTTTTCAAGGGGGACCACGTGGAGGTCGACCTGACAGGGTATATTGCTAGCAATGGGTAAGTCACATTACTAACAATCCCTCCCCCCCAGTATTACTAATTAGACAATCCTACACATTAGATAATGCTCCTGCATCTATTTCTGTATAGTATATGCCAGAGTATATTGATAGCGCAGGCGGGGCTAACACTGTATTATTATCCATAAAAAAAAAGATTTTATAAACTTTTACACCTACAATATTTTAGTAGAATAGTTACTGTTTTATAATAATAATAATTTTTATACGTACTATCCGTTGTTGTATCCACTCTGAATGTGAATACTGCAGCTCTCCCCCGAGATCGGGCGTTAGTTGTGATTTATCGAAGTGTTCGTATAACTCTTCGATGGACGAACACACGTGAACGCGAAATCTAAATTCCTCCTTGAAAAGTTTACTGCTCACTTCAGATAAGGCTTTCTGGAGGAAACTGGCTGGTCTCAACACGTATACGGCGTGGATGATACCGGGGAAGAATTCCTGGAATGAATAAAAAAAAAATATTAATTAGGTATACCCAATCAATTTCAACCGACTTATTTGTCATCTCTACTACTTAATTAGATAACATATTATATATATATATATATATATATATATATATATATATATATATATATATATATATATATATATATATATATATATATATATATATATATATATATATATATATATATATATATATATATATATATGTGTGTTATTATATATAATGAAATTTGAGACACGGGTATGCTATATCCTAACTAGACATAAACTTTTTATATTTAAACGCGAAAAATATTTATATTATAACATTACCCTTTAGCTCTTTAGCGGCTTATTTGTCATGAATGTTAGTGTACTAGTAATATTTAACATGGAGAATGATATAGGCAATTTTTATTCCAATGAATTAACCAAACAGTCATGCAGACGAAGTTGCAGATAAAAACTAGTAAAATATAAACAGACAGAAAGATACTTACCGAAACCCTTAATAATACTGTTTTAACTGAATTCCATCTGTCTTTTCTGCGATCTATTATTATGTGGAAGCCCATATCAGCTTCTAGTATCCTGAAACAGTAAAACCATGTGTATAAATGAACAGAAAAAATCTTTATCTTTCTGGTGTATTTTATCATTTGTGCCACAAAAAATTATTTTAAACCCGCTTACGCTATGCTTGAAGGCTATCAGTAAGTGATGATAAGTAATTCATCATCATCATATCAGCAAATAACTGTCCACTGCTGAACGTAGGCCTTTTCAATAAGGAAGGGTTTTGTCTGTAGTTACCACGCTTGGCAGGCAAGTTGGCAACCGCAGTTAGGCTTTAGTGATGTTTTAAGAGGTACGCTGCTGCTCATTCCTTGGTCATTAAGTTCCCTTAGTCGCCTCTTATGACACGCACGGGAATATACGGCAAAATAAGTAATTAGTAATGGGTAGAAGGCAAAAAATTAACAATAGAGTACACTTCAGATGTTCAATTAAGAGATAAAAATATTTTCGTATCTGTTCTTGAATATTAATTAGTACTTGCTATGTTGACTTTAATTGATAAACAAAATAGATAAAGTTTTGATGAAAAAGTAACAAATTCGTTGATCTTATCTATAGATAAGATAGATTCGCTGAATTATTTTTAGAGCTTATTATGTATCAGTTACCTATAGACATACATTCCTACACACTTCACTAATAGTGGAAGTGGTATAGGTACTTATTACTTCTCTGATACTAACTAGGTTTTTTTATGGGTGATAATAGGATGGTAAACTCCGTCTGCGCTATTGGTATACGTTGGCAAGGCACCATTGAGAGATGATAGGTGAGAATGAAAGCAGGTCAGTTGGACCATAGTGACAAATTTATAAAGAAGAAACTAAGATGGTTTCTAGAGGAATCGCGTATATATAGGGGATCATAGGTCGATCTGATAGGGTGTATTCCTGGCAATACAATTTCATACAATACAATTCAATTTCCGATAATAATTAGTAACAAATCTAAATTTATCTCGAAAATTTGTTTATTATATTTCAATAATTACGAACGTTTAATTATTAGAAGATAATAAAAAGAAATTTATAGTATATAAATTCCATCAAAAAGATTACATTACAATTGTAAAAATAAAAAATACCAACTCCTATATGAAATACTTTTTTTTCAAGTAATTGATAAACATGTTTCAAACATTTACGCTTTGTATTTATGAGACTATGGGAATGAGTGGATTATGTTATATTTATTTACTTACACTATTGTATTTATTTGCATATTATATATATATATATATATATATATATATATATATATATATATATATATATATATATATAATGTAATAATAAGTGTATTTAGTAACATTCAGTAGCATTCACGTAACGTAATGAAAAAAAGAATCTCATTATGCAAATAACTTTAGCAAACCTCGGGAGTTAGCGGCGGGATACCTTTTAAGACAAAGCGAACGACACGGTTGCCTTATTTGTGGATGTTCAATCGATACCTGAACGTTTCTTTTGATCCTTCTTATCTTTAGGCTAAGTCTTTCAGGGGATGGGTAGAAAGAATCTGATAGAAAGGCTAAAAATACTTTCACATACATTTACGCTACGTACTAGTACATAGTAATAGGTAACATATTAGGAATATTCCATACTAGCTATATCCCGCGGCTTTGCTCACGTGAATATAATAAAATATAAAGTGTCCCATGTGTTAAATTAGGATATAACCTACCTGTGTTCCTTTCCTTCAAATCTGTTTTGTAATTTTTGTGTGAAAAAGTAACAATCATTCATCCTACCCTTTCTTATAAACTTACGCATTTATAATACTAAATATGAATTATTCAAAATAATTATTAACCATTGCTGTCTAGTCCTGGAATAGAATGAACCACTCTCCTCCTCCTTTTACCGAAGGTGTCGTAAGAGGAGACTAAGGGAACTTACTGGTCGAGGGATGAGAAGCAGCGTCCTTTTTAAAACATCACCAAAAGCTATTGCCAACACGTTTGTGGCAACTACTGGCAAAACCCATTCTTATGAGGGAGGTCTATGTTCAAAAGTGGACAATTAATGGCTGATATGATGATGATGACTAAGGGGTCAATTTAAATTCGATTAAAACTGACTATATTACACATAATTACACAATACTTACGTTGGTACAGAAGTGAGGTAGAGTAACAGCCGTCTGTATTCCGAAGCGGTGATGAGATGGAAGTTATTGTTGTCGGGGAAGGTGATGAGCGGTCGGTGGTCTTTCGCGAGGCCCCCGGTCGCGAGCGCGTACTGGGGCAGCAGCAATTCCCCCACATTTCGACCTTCGTCGGTGTCGCTGCCACAGCCGTCGCATTCTGCTTCTGGAAATGATCATAAAAAAAAAACTTTATTATAATTATATATTACTATAATAATTGTAAATAGTTATAGTTTGGTTTGACAACATTTGCTTAAGATTCCAGGGTCGCAAGGATGACCTATAATAGTCTGGTGTCCATCTTAGAATGTAAATAAGGCTTTTAGCTATGAGCAAATACATTTTGAAGAGCCTTTTTAAGGGGGCAGTGTGGAAAATAATCTTAAAAACGTCAATGGTCCTAAATAAATTCGATACTTAGTTCCAGGACCCGATTGTATAAAAATTTTTACTTTATAAAGTACATAGTAGCTTTTGTAATACATAGATATAAGTCTATGGTTGCAAAAGATTATTACAATTTTAGATTAAATCTTAGAGGATACAGCTAAATATTTTCTGAGAATAATTATATAAATTAAATACTAATTTATTATGTATATATGTATTTTATATATGAATACCTAATAGAAAATTAATTATTTGTTTCTATATTATAAATAGCTACTAAGGGGAGCAGGTATACATGTGTCACAATAATTTTATATGAAAAAATATTATATTAAAGTATTTAAGTAGTAAGAAAATATACTTTCACAGAATAGTATTTAAAGCGATGTAATTATAAAATCAATTAATCATAGACTCAAATAATTGAACAACCTATTCTGTTAGCAATGAAATGATAGAAGCATAAATAATATAATAGGTGTACTGTCTAATAACAGAGTAGGTATTCAAGTGTATTTTTAAAGAATAGGATGAAAATCGATGTAAGTACGAAATATTTTTAACATAGACTTAAATGATTCAAAAACACGTCACATTAGTTAATGAATTAAAGGAGAGAGGCCTGTAGGTACATAATGTTGGGTGCAGTGCACTTAACAGAACAAAGGATCAGTTAGCTCGAATTAGGGTCTTAATCTAGAATAACGGGAGGATACCGGATAAAATCGCCCACAAGTTTCAGTTCGTTGTCCCCAAATTTGTGTCACAACGTATTGTATTGAAATGTTCTAAATTATCCATTATTATTAGTAAATTGGCTTTTAGCTGTAACTTTATTCACGTGTCGTAATTGGAAAATAATTTTAATGGAAGATATTTTTTAAAAAGATTATCTTATTAATTAAAATGAAAACGAAAAAATTTTAATAGTAAATCACGATTATCTCGGAAATAAAAAATATACAAATATTGTGTTCTCTATTTAAGCCGACGATGTACGCGTTGACCTATTTACTCATACAATTAGTGTCCTTTTTATAAACATGTATAACATAGATCGCTACTGAAGTAGGTCATATAAATGATAAATGTATTTACACCCTTATTATAAAAACAAAAGTCACATGTTTATACAAATTAAACTATCTTTACATAAGGTTGTTTTTCCGCTTAGCAAGTAGGTACGTACCTAGATGAACACGTTGCGTGCTACATTGCCATTATTTACTTACTCCTAACATTACTGGGAACGAAGCGGACAAGATTATCTGTACAATGAACTAAATCATGGTATTTTGTTATGTAAAAAACATATTAGGTATTTCAATAAAATTAGAACAAGATACATGAGTGTGTAATATAAATAAAAAAAAAAAGAATAACATTTCAGGACTGTGTCAATATGCCAAGTAAAAAAAAAAGATACAAGTTAAAACTGTCGGTCTCTGAAGTATTCTATTAGTGAAAATAAAAAAAAATTCTAAACGAAAATGGACCTAAAACTGATAAAAAAATATGGACAAGTCGTGTCAAGTTGTCAATGTACAATTAAATGAAAAATGATAAAATTAAATTCTTTGTCGTTTTAAAAACACTTTTATCAACCGACTTTTTTTTTTATTAGAGACGTTAAATATACTTAAAGATAGGTCTTATAAAAATTTTATTAAAAACGGCTCGGTTATTAAATTTTATATCAATATAACTAGTTTTTCTAACACTGAAGTCGGTCTTTTGTGGAATACAATTTTATTTATTATAAAGTAATACATAAAAGTAATAAAATATTTTATTATTAAATCTAATAACATTAATAAATAAAAAAGAAGTCGGTAAAAAAAAAATAACATTTTTAAACCAATAAAAGCAGTAAGGCAAATCGTCGTATTTACATTTTTTATTTTAATATTTTTTTTATTCGTCAATATATTACTTAGAAATCGCTAGAATTTTGATTAGGTAAACCGTTTTCATTACATCTTTCATGACATCAGTTGAAAAAAAATGAAGTATTACACTTACTTTTAATGTCGACACATGGGACTGTCTTCTTATCCCTAACATTGGTGATTGATGATACACGTAACTACCGTATGATAGGTAGGCAAGTAGTATGATAGGTAAGTAGTACGTCCTCGTGTCCTACGTGTGACGTTACCAATTACGAATGAAATGGGTTCATTGAACGAGCAAAGTCGTTTCTGAAGATAATTCGCATGATATAAATAACTATATATATATTTTTTATTTTAGTGATAAATAAATACATCTTCGTAGAAAGTAATGCATAACTATGTACTGCTTACAGTACTCAGGGATAACATACATTTTTAATAATTAAATAATTTTCAAAACTTGGATCAGTAGTATCGAAGATTACCGCGAATATCCAAACTCGCAAACTTTATCTCTTTATAATATTAGTATAGACTAACATTTATTTTGGGGCGTAACACTTCAGTCTTCAGGAGTGGCAACCCGTGAGCGATGGCCATTGCCATGAATGTTTCGTGTATTTTGTGAAACTCATAGTGTTGTTGATGTCTATACGCAGCGGTAATGACTATTCTTTAGGTGGGATGATAGTCTGTCATTTCCTGTCGCTTAAAAAAAACATACTTTGTATAAAACCTAAACGGTCTCCCAAATATAGTATTATATTATCTGTGTCCAAACTATGGGCAGCATTATTGACATTTAATAAATAATTTGAAAGCCAGGGCAAAAAATATGTAACAGATTAACCCTGTGTTTGTTAATAAAGGATGTAGAAAAAAAAATCTAATAAAATTAAATACAGAAAATTGTCTTACAATATCAATGTTAATTTTACAGAATGCTACAATCAAAGTATGCATCTACCTATAAGAGGTAGACGCAAGGTCATTATCATGCGCGAGCGCAGCGCTCAATAAGTACCTACCGAGATAAACAACGATTAATTTGTATACATTTTCTCTCGATGAATCCATTAATAATACTACGTTCTGCTATCATCCAACTAATATTTTAAGTGTGAAAGTTTGTAAAGACGTTTAGATGTATGAATGTTTGTTTTTCAATCACGCTTAAACGGTTAAACAGATTTCAATAAAATTTAATATACAGATAGAGCGTATCATACATGAACATAATAAGCAATCTATGCCGTGCGATATTGTACTTATAATAATAAGAAAATATTTTAAGTCACTGTACTCAATATTCAATATTCTTTGGATTGTAATAATAGATCATCGGGTTCTCAAGGTTGACTAGAAGAAATCTCTTTAAAGAATAAGTACATTTTTGTTATAACCTAACATCTATATTAAAAGTGAATCTACAAAAGCATATAAATAAATCATAATCTACTTATTTTGATTATAATTATAATTCAAAGATATTCATATTTATTTAAAACTGCAACTGCATATACAATAAATTTATAATTAGATATTTACTTGAATTCATGTACTATTTAGTATATAGGCGACGGTTATCACTTTTCATCAGGTGAGCTGGCACCTTGTTTGCCATGCATTCATTCTTTTCTGGATAGAAAAATAGAAATATTTTATCGGTCTTGCGCTACCTGCATTTACTGACTCTCTGCAATGCATTTGAGGTCGTCACTCTATGTCGTGGAGGATCGTCCTACACTGCGTTTCCCCTTACTGGGTCGTCACTCAAGAACCTTTATTTCCCATCTTTTTTTGACTCTGAGCTATGTAACCAGCCAATCGCCAGTTTGCTTATCCTTCAGGCTATGCCCATCACTTTGGGTCTTCTGCGGATATTCTCATTTCAATTTTTGTCACGCAATATTATAAAAAGTTATAATCATAAATAATATAAAATCTAGCAGTATTTGTTCTTTACATGAGTATATCTCTAAAGTTGAATCTAAACCTGTATAATAAAATTATAGTAAGTAAGCGGATGACGTTAAGTATAATAATCATAAGTAATCTATAATTTTCAGTAAAAAAAATTAATGTAATGTGACCAAATTTTTGTTTGTTAGCCAACAACAAACATGTTATCTACGCTATATATAGTACAATAATACGGTGTAGCTATTATGGTGGAACGCGGAGGAAGGTTCATTAATAATGAGGTAACAATTTGTTCACAACAATTGTCGATTGTAAACCTCCTTTAAAATGCGTGTAGGCCCAGAGGGTTTACCATGAAATATTTTCCGAAATTTCGGAGACGAACGAAATAGAAATTTGATGTTAAAATTACATAATACATGTCGTTTAAAATTATTAAAAATATTAAAATATCGTTCCTCTGGACTATTAGGATAGGATTTATAATGAATGAAACGTTAAGCTCCAGTTACTGGGTCGATTTAGGTACGAACAAAAACACGAAATTAAGCCCGAAAATTCGGAATTTCATTTCATGGTAGGCTCCCTGTTAAAAGATTAGTTCGGGATTTTGTGGTCGGACAGTTTTCTTTCTTGACTCATTTAAGTGCGTCTAATGCAATGAATATAAAAAATAATAAAATCTAAAAATGTTTTTGTATAATAACCATACCATTCTTATGGTATAAGTACTAGAATAATATTATATTATGTACTACCCTTGTTCTCCTTACTTAGTACGCGTAGATATCAGAAGTGAGAAATAATTAGACCACTTCTAGATGGACTATTATTATCCCGATGTAGACTTCTTATCCCGGTAAGTGAACACTCTAGTCACGCGGACGTAGTCGCGGGTAAAAGATAGTGTAAAATATTTTTCGGAAAGAAGTATAGATCTCTTCAAATATTCTCT